ATTGGTCTTGTAATTTGACTTCATCAAGTGCATCGAGCTCTTCCATTATCAATCGAGCATTTTGCTCTTAAGTGAGATCATATTGAATGCCTACCTGAAGTGACGGTAGTTCAATTTTTAATGACAACATTACTTCAATCCCAAATACCAGTGCATAAGGAGTGGCTTTAGTCGATATCTTGTAGGTTGTACGATGCACCTATAGTGCTTTTGCCATCTTAGTTTGCCACTCTCTTTATTTTTGGTAAGGATATTCTTCAATAGTTTCACTAGCGTCTTGTTGAAGGCCTCCGCCATACCATTTACGCTTGGATTACATATTATCGAGTATCATCATTCGATCTTGTGTTACTTGACAAACTTGTATATTTTAGTGCTCTTGAATACTATGTCATTCTCTGAGATCGCGCGGTGTAGTACATCGAATATTTAGATGACATTGTAGGTAAAGAAGTTAATCACATGCTTAAATGTGACTTTTTTAATGGAGCAGCTTCTACCCACTTAGAAAAATAGTCCATTGCTGCTAGTATAAAATAGTGTCCGATTGATGACGGTGGATCTATTGGTCTGATTATATATGTGTCCAAGCATTTAAATGGCTAGGACACTACTATTGGGTTATTGGATTTGGCAACTCATGTATAACATCATCATGAATCTAACACTCGTGGCACCTCTTAGCATGGTCATATAATTCATTACCATAGTAGGCCAATAGTAACACATCCTTTTGATTTAACATCCATTTTAGGGCCTGACTGATGTGCACCATAAAGTCCTTCATGGACTTTCGCTACAACTCTCTTAGCTTCCCTGGTTCGGATCGCAACAAAGTGTTGGTACAGCAGTACGATCTTTTGTGGAATGATCTCCCATCTAGATTATTATATTTAGATGCTTGATTGAATGCCATATTAATCCTTCAGAGTTATATATTATCCTTACTTGAATTTGACTATTATAGCCTAGATGAAGCCTTCAGTTTCACTATCTGAATCCATTAAGGAATGATATATTTGCCTCTTAGAAAAATATATTGTTCACAATGACGTGTTCGACACTAAGACCGAAGTTCCAAAATTAAATTTCTCAAAAAGATCAACCCTTTCAAAACCTCTTTTTCCAAAAAAAAAAAACTAAAAAAAACATGTCGATGTTGAGATTCATTAGAATTTGAACTATAAGGACGAGCTAGATAGGATTTCGGTGTATAATATCAAGAAATTGAGGAGCAAAGAAATTATAAGAGTCAATGTGTAGTGAAAATATAGAACTACCGGAGAGGCTACTTAAGAGAATGAATATGAGACGAGAAAACTATATTTAGGTTTATTTCGATATATTTTAGTTTAAAAATATTGAGGATGATATTTTTAAAGGAGGGAAGAGTTATAAGACCTTCACAATCAGAGTACTGTTCAAACCAATCTAACTCAACTTGATGCCAGGTAACCTATTGAATTTCTTCATTTGAAATCTCTTGCATGTGTCTGAGAATGATCTATATGCATGAAAATATCTATATGGATTCTAAAGTGGGTTTTAGGAGTTTGAATGCTTATTTGAGAAATCTGAAAATTTTTCCTAGAGCACCCTAGCGCTAGGCCAATTTATCCACTTAAAAATATTCAAATCCACTATTTCACCCTATTCGTTCCATTTGAACAGACACTAGTGAGAGAGAGAGAGATAGAGAGAGAGAGGGGGGGGTTAGTGAGAGAAACTCCATTTTGGATCGCATCAGTTCATTTTAGTTGTCATCCCAATTGGGAAAGTTGTTCAGATCGAGATAGGTTACATTTCACATATCTTAATTTTCAATAATTCAAAGTTTTTGGGATTTCCTTAATCAAAGTTATAATTTGATTTTATAAAAATGTGATTTCTCAAATTCTAGTAAATTTTGAATGTGTAACTTTTAATATATTATTGGTATGATTACATGGTTATTTTGAGTATTTATTTAAGATTTTCTACTTGGTTATTTTAAAAAATACCATTTTTTATCAATTTAGAAACTCATTTTTACATATAAAAATAGTTCTTAATTTAATTAAAAGTATCAAAATTTTGTTATATATTATCTCTAGTAATTTGGTTATTTTCTAGAAATACAAATTTTTTAGTAGAATTTTCTATTACCTACCGTTAGGGCATTTTGGCAAGTTTTGAATTTATTTCAATTATAATTACTTACTGTAATGCATTGAAAAATGCATATATTGATTAAAATTTGGAATTCAGTTGGCGGAGAGAAGGGATTTGGTTGGCAAAGAGAAGGAATTCTATTATTTGTTATACATTAGAAACTCTGAAGCTTGAGGGCTATTATGATATTTCCTAAGAAGGGATTTTGTTGGTGGACATAAGGGATTCTATTGGCGGTGAGAAAGAATTTTGTTGGTGGAGAGCCATTTTGATAATTAATATGAAATGTTTATTTACATTTCAGTTAGTCTCATAACTATTTTAGTAGTTATTTAAATGCTTTGTAAAATTTAGAATTAGTATATATTTCTGCTTCAGCTTTCGTACAATACTTAAATTTATTATTTTAGTATTTTCAGTTCTTTTAGTTGGAGTTATTGATTTTTATTTTAGGCTATGATAATCTACTAAGCTGTGTTTTCTCTCTTACTTTTTTATCATTTTAAAGTTAGATAAAGGGTAAGGAGTGTGCTAAATACTTTTGATATGAGGCTCTAATCTATAATGTAGGTACGCTTTTTAGTTATTTTTCTTTTACAAGATTAGATTTTATTACTATTGTACTTTTTTGTTCCTAAATGTTGTTGTAAATATACCACATATTGTACATGCATTTTTTGATGATATATATAATCAATTTTGAGAATTAGTAGCATTCTGCTTTATATTATATTTGGTAGTGGCTCTATATTTATATAAATTGGAAGTTTAGTTTTTCAACAGTTCTTTAACTAGATCTTATGATTTATTTACGCTTCCTACCACGATCAGACATGATATGACTTGAGAGGTTGGGTGGGGGTCATATCAGGTTAGGCTGTGACACAAACAATGGTGGTCGACAGTCCCTAGTCAAGCAATGGTGATTGGGAGATCGTAATTCGACGGCACTAATCTAGTGACAATGGTCAGGAAACCATAGATTAATGATGTTGGTTAGAGACCATAGTCAAGTGGTCAAGAGACCACTGTTGGGTAATAATGGTTAGAAAATCATAGCAGGTCCATAGTGTTTAGGAGACTGTAATAAGACAATGATGTTTAGGAAACTAAATTTAATTGAAGTAGTTTAGTGATAATGGTCAAATACTCATAATTAAGTGAACTTATTCATAGTTAGGCAATGGTTATTAGAATATTATAGTCAAGTATTGATGGTCAAAAGGTTGAAGTCAAATAACAATGGTCGATGGATCATAGTCAGATGATAGTGGATCAACAACGATGATTTGTTGGTGACAAACTGATTGTAATTCTAAAGAGATGGTGGCGGTTAGGCAGCATCAATCTCATAGCATCACTTATGATACAACAATCTAATGATGATGGGATTGCAACAATGATTTGATTGTTTTGATTATATGGTTGAGAGATAAGCAATAAGACTACTGAGATCAGATAACAACAATCTAATGGTTGCATTATGATGGCGCCAATAATGGTTATCAGGTGGCCATTAGACAATGATGGTTAAGTGATAGTAGTTGAATGGTTATGGTCAGGTTGTGTCAATCCAAAGGCTATGGTCGGGTAGCACTAATTTGATTTTGTTTGCCAGGAGATAATGATTCAACTAAAGTGCTTGGGAGATGGTGATCCAAAGATGGTGGTTGGGTGTTGATAGTTTGATAGCAATGATCTGAGAACATTGGCCATGCAACAAGAATCTAATGATGCTGGTTAGGTGGGGGTGATTTGAAGATGGTGGTTGGGTCACAATTAATGGCGGTGTTTGGGTTTCTATTGGTTGATGACAATAGTAAGATTGTTGTGGTTAGGTGAAACTCTTTGGTTTTGCAAAACATTAAGCTCTCTTCTCTTTATCTTACATTTCAAGTGAAGAAAGAAGGTTATTTATAATTTTTGAACATGGCTTATTAGTTATTTTGGCCAAAGTTCCAAAACAAGCAATATGATGGCCTATATTGATTTATTGATCACAAACTATTCTTTCAGTATTTATGTGCCTTAATGAAATTGGAATCAAGCAAAATTAGGCTCATTGAATTTCTCTCATATAACCACTCAATTTAATAATAAATATGTAAAATTTAAATATCATTTGATCATTCCATTAATGACATGAAGTTTTCATTTATGCTTTAAATATTTGATTTAGGCTTGTATTACTTTTTGTCATTGGATTTGTATCATCGAGACATTCAATTTGGCTATAATTTCGCTGAAATTAGAGTTTAAGGCTTTGTTTGTTTGAGCGTTTTTTTGCCTTTTTCATTTTTGGAAACGGAGGAATTTTTTTTGTGTTGTTTGGTTCGTCAAATCACGTTCCCAATAACTCCTTTTTTTTATTTTTCTGCAGTTTTGAGAAAGCTTTTTATATGTACTTCTCCGTTATAAAACTCTATTTTCTGAACTAATGTTTTTTAAAACTGTCTTTTACAAAAGCACCAAAAAAACAAACGAAGCCTAAGTGGTCCTAAATTTAATTCCATAAATTTGCAATCACAATATAAATCATGGTTTGTGATGTTTTCACTCAAATAAAGTAAGTTTTTTTATGTATTTAGTGGTCTTGAATGTATGAATTTTTTAACATGATTTAAATTCATTATATTATTTTTAATTGCATAAACAAAATCTAAAATCTAATAATTTCTTCTCTTTATAATTTATATAGTAGAAAGTTTAGGGGGGTGGATTAAAATTTAAACAGTGTTATCAAAGATGTTCCTCCTCTAATTACTATTTTTATTTATTTATTTAAACTTAAAAAAATTGAAAGAGGGGAAACATCACACCTATATATATATTTGTAGGTACTCAATCGAGTGTACTGACGTGTTCGCGCAAGAGCCAGGGATTTTTCTTCCCTTCCCGACTTTCAGTCTCTTCCTCTTACTCAATCCTCTTCCTCACAGCCATGGCCGTTCTTACTTATCTTTCTCCTTTCTCGTCAGCCAACTCCGTCCAGTCCTTCTCCTCCCATCAACCCCGCCGTCTCCCTTCTCCTCCAACGATGTCCTGCTCTTGCCATCTTTCGATTGCAGGTGAGCTATGTTATCTTGTTGGCATTTCGAACACATCAAGAGCGCTACTACAATGCGTTTCTTTTGCTGGATAGAACCAAAGAACTGGCGAGCTCTTGTCTCGACAGCCCTTGCTGCTGTGGTCGTAAGCTTCGGCGGAGTTGGAACGATGCCCGCTATTGCGGAGCTCAATAAGTTTGAGGCGGAGATGAGGGGTGAATTCGGGATCGGCTCAGCGGCGCAGTTCGGGTCGGCGGATCTCAAGTAAGGTTCTTTGGGTTCAAATTTTGAATATTTATGTGCGTTGATGTTCTGCTTTCGTGGGGGCGGACGGATGATTTTATTGGTTTCTGCTTTGTTTCCTTTATGGGCAGGAAGGCTGTGCATGTAAATGAAAACTTCAGGTTTGTGCTTATTCTCCTTTGTATCTGTTTTAATCTGAAGATGTTTTGTTTTTTGTTTTTTTGTTTTCCCATGAGGTATCTTACATTTGGAATTGCCCTGATCTCAGACTTACCGAGTTTTGTTGGTTTCCTGTTAATTATTGGTACAACCATTAAATGTATCTCTTGATTAATTCTATAGGAATTTACATACGTTACACATAACTCTTTTGTATTTATATATCTTACACAAATGTTTATATTTACTTATATAGTAACCTAGTGTCCAAACCAATATATGGTACAACTTTCTTATTGCCCTTTAAAGTTGCTTTCAAGTATAAAAATTTTCTAGTTTGAAAATTTTTTGTACTAAAAGAATTACTTTAAAAAGTAGTAAGAAAGCTATCCCAAATGAAGGCTAAGATTCATGTTAAGTTGTTTTCCGCAACCAAGTTTGGATGATACAAAGGTCCTTCTAGCTCGTACATCACTTGATCACATCATTATTTATGTTGATCCCATGATTAAGCACATTTGATGGCCCCTAATCTCAAAGTTTTGGCCTAAATCCTATCATCCAACATTGATTATCATTATCATTAATTAGAAATCCATCCATATATATCTAATAATCTGATTTAAATTTCTAACAATACTAAGCTTGGGGCATAGGACTTCCATCGATCCATTCATCTATTATTGCTAAGGAAATGATGGCCCAGTTTGAATCTCAAAGGCAGTATGTCTTGGCTCTCTACTCTTTGATTGAACATTATACTAAAAAAGAACCTCGATTGAGAGGCATGTGTGCAAATGCGGATCTCAGAGATGACATGGCTTGTTGATCTATCATTTGCTTCTCCCAGGTATCAAAATGCCCTTCATTGCTTGTCTATAAATGCTCCCCTTCCCAACAGAAAGAGGGAATGGTAAAGGGTCTATCATTCTTTCATTCATAAGTGAAAATTTTATTAAAATGATTTAAGCTTTCATTCATCCTCAAGCTTAGTCATTAACTTTGGGATTGAATAATCATCCCAGGGATAAAATTCTCATATTTGGCATGTAGATCTTTTGTTTTAATTGACTTTGTGCTAGATACAATATTGAACTACAGAGTTATATCTTTGCTATTGAAGATTGGACCTTTGATTTTGAATGTTCATATATTTTGACCCAACATAGGGATTAGTTTTCTTCTTATAAACCTATTGATGAAGAAAATGTCCTTATAGGAAATAGCATGGCCTATAAGATTGTTGGGATAGGGACAATTCAAAGCAAGTCCTATTGAGTTTTGAGGACTTCAGAGAAGTTGGACATGCACAAACTTTAAAGAAGTGCCTTATATTTATAGGTTGTATATATTCCTCGGAACCAAATATCATGAAATCCTTGTGAGTGTGGGCTCCAAAAATTCCATTTGCCCCCCGACCTCTTCGCACCATCGGTCTCTTTTTCTTTGATTTATGACATTGACGACGGAGAGTTTTAACAAATTTAGGTTTCATGTGAATTTTCAGAAGGCAGATTGGGTTTTAGATAAGACACTACTCAGAGATTTTGCCCTCATTTTGTGAGGACTTTATGATCTGAGTTATGGTTTCCTATAGGCTCAAGCCCCTATAGTTAGTTACCCCTCTCGATAATGAGAGAGAACTTTCGATTAAGACTAGTTGTTAAAGAGGTCGCATAGGTTGTAAATCCAATTCATAATAGAAATAGTTTTAGGATTTGAATTTTAAATATGAATTTTGGAGTTTATCACTATGAACTTAAAACTGGTGGTGGGGGGATGAAGACGAGCCCGATCAAGATCCCATGGTTCCGTCGTCCCGGGCAGTCATGATTCCTAGTTTACTTAGTCAGAGGAGGTAGTCGACCCAACCTGACATAAGGCACCTTATCGGCAGCCATAGGTTGCTTCGTCCAAGAATTCCTTGTAGATCTGGATTGGTATTTGTCTAAGTGGATAGATTTGAATCCACCTTAGCTGACAGAGGGCTTTTATGTCTATCGAATATACCCTATGATTCATTACTCAAGGATTTGAAGTTGTTAGGGAACATACGGGCTTTGATCGTGATCGTAATATAATAGTGCTATTTTACTGCAAAATCACCCGATAAGAGGGCACGTGCCACGTCCCTATTGGTAAGAGACTATTTTATGATGAATCTTAGTGATACACCCGACACAACATTTGCTCTTTGTGAGCTAAGATTACTTTCAAATTTATCACCTCTGACAATTTGTTGTGGGAGGTGGATGAGTTTTAGTTTTAAGTTATTAGTTGATATATTTTATTTTAAGAACTCTGTCTTTTATTAGCTTTGAGATTTGACCTCTCCGGTTGAGATTTCGAGTCAACACGGTCATCATCAGGGTGACGTTAAAGTCACTTATATTTTTGTAGGAATTTGGGAGGCATCTTACAATTCAAATCATATAAACTCTAGTCCTTTCGAGGGGTAGGATGAGACTTTAGTATTTAACCCACGCAACATTCTCAAACTGTTGGATTTGGAACTCAGATGTGACGATTGGAACACATGCGGGACATGTTTAGTTTTACAATAGAATGTTATACTAGCGAGCATTTGACTCTGCGCAGCACTCTCAGATAATTATGTTTGTAATTTTAATATGTTTGTCGGAGCACATGCATGTTTTGTTTAGTTTGAAAAAAGAACTTTATATTAGTGAGCATTTGACCCCGCGCAGCATTCTTAGACATTTGTGTTTGTAACTTTAATACATTGACCAGAGCACATGCATGGAGTATTTTAACATGTAGATTAGAGTTATCATAACGATATAGCTATATGTCTGCTTGTATAAATGTTGTGGATTTGGTGGCTTTACTCTAAATCAGGTTTGAGCATTGTTTTAAAAGGCGAAATCACGAATCGAAGC